ACTCCAGTCTGGGCGACAGAGTGAGACTCCAACTCAAAAAATAAAATAAAATAAAATAACCAGAAAAAACACTTACACTCTTATATACCCACACACAAAAAAAGAGGAAGGAAAAGGGACAAAACAAATCAAAATGCACACATGTGTACACATACACACGCACACACAAATAGGGAGGAAGAGAAAAAATTTTTTTAAAACTCCAAATACTTTGTGAGCCTTGGGCTCCCTCTTGTGGTTGTTTCTGGAACATTCGGTTCTTTTTTTATTATTTTTGACTGGATGTTCCAAGCACCCCCACTCTTGCCTCCCCGCAGGAGGGAGTGGGCTTTGGCATCTAGGTCCTCCCCCTGCTCTCAGTGCATTCGGGATGTTTCACCTGCCTGTGTTCAGTCCTCTCCTTGCCTGCAGATCAGTCCTCTCTCCACGTGGGTCAGATGCCCCACCATGGACTGCTGAGGGAAGGGGGCTGAATCAGTCTAACACTCAGCCCTCCACATCTGCAGTTAGGTCTCTCACTCTGATTGCACCCATGAATGGTCCAGTGTGGAGGGTGGGGCAATGGGGACTTGCCAGGGCCCTGTCTCTCCTGGTATTATGTACCTGGAGTGTCTTCCCTGGGCCAATGGTGATAGACCCCAGAGGGTTGCAGCACTCACCCCTCAGTCTCAGGGTGCTCAATAATGGCAGGCAGGAGCACATATCTGCCCAGTTCTGGGACAGAGGTACTGGTGGTGATCTGCATCTTCTCCTCCTGCAGGACTCGAGCTTGGCTCCCAGTCGCTTTCTCCATGGTCTTCACTGTCAGTGGCCAACCTCTAACCGCAGCTGTTGGTGGTGGGTCAGGTGCCAGGCACCGAGTGGCAGCTGTTCTCTGTGGTCTCTTCCCAAGAAATGCCCAGAGTGGCCCTTGCCTCTGTACAGGAAAGGGGCCAATTCAGAGTAGTAGCAGGTAGCAGCCACTTCAGCAGGGGCCCCCCAGGTGCTTGCTCCTGTGTCCCCACTCAGCCAGACACTCACGCACGCACTTGTACACACTCACCCATGCAGACACTCATATACTCCAACTGGTTCCCCTGCCATCTTGCCAGTCTTCCCTTTCATCTAACTTCAGTTCTCTGTGTGACTGTTTCTACTGAGCTGTTTTTCTCTGGTTTTGGATATGTGATCTTTTGGTATGTGTAGAATTTTAAAAATTGTTTTAAACATTGTATATAAAAAAATTGTTGAGGACCTAGTAGATGATATCTTTCTTCTCAGAGGACTCATTTTCCCCTATGTCAGCCTAGAGTGAAGGATGAACACCCATATCCAGTCAGGCAGTGTTGAATTAAGGTTAGGTGAAGTTCTGGTAAGACTCAGTCTACCTCTGGTTTACCCTCGTTATTGAGAATTTTCAGCTGAGTACCCAGTTTGTCCTCCAGAGACCCGCTTCCTGATAGATGCCCATCTCTGTTTTCTTATCAGATAGAATTTCGCTTTCCTTCTGAAGCCATTTGCTTAAGTTTTTAATCTTCTGCCTCTGCATGCCCCAGAATTCAGCAAATATTCTGAGGGGGAAAATGACCATGTATCTGGATTCTTTTGGTCTCTCCATCACCCATTTGCAGCCTTCTACTGATACAAAGCTATATTCTCCCCTTTTGCTCACTCCCAGCATTAGCAAATGCTTCCAGTGTCAACATGGCTGTATAAGTTAGCTTAAGCCCGTAGTGTTTTCCCCTTCCAGTCTTTGACCCTACATTTCTTGTTACCTCAGCAGCTTTCCAGTGCTTTCAATCAAGTGATTTCAGTATTTCATCTGGCATTTTAGTTATTCTTGGCAGGAGCACTGGACTGCTACAAGCTCCTGCATCCCATGTGGAAATGGTGATGCCTAAAAGAGCCCTCTCCCTCACATATGAGTTTGCCCATTTAAAGTGTACGGTTCATTGGTTTTCAGCATATTCACCAAGTTGTATAATCAGCATCATAACCAAATTTAGACATTTTCTTTACCGTCCTGATGGGTGTAAGTTGATATCTTGATATCTTTTCATTGTGATTTGCATTTCCCTAGTAACTAATGACCTTGAGCATGCTTTCATATGCTTGTTGACCATTTGTATATTTTCCTTGGATAAAAGCTTTTTACCACCTAGTTGAATTGTGGTGTTTGTTTTTCATTGCTATTGTTAATTGTGGGAGTTCTGTGTAGGATACTGTATCACATTAAAAATAAGATTCTCAGTGTCTCGCTTCCGTTCTGCAGTCATGACCCTTCACATCGGGTGGGAATTTGTTTTCACAGACACCAGTGTCGTTCAAGGACGTTACTGTGGAATTCAGCAGGGACGAGTGGCGGCAACTGGACCTCACTCAGAAAAGCCTGTACAGGGATGTGATGCTGGAAAACTATTTCAACTTGATCTCAGTGGGTAAGCACAGCTCTGCTGGGCATATGAGAGACTGCACCTGACTGTATTTTTCTCCTCGGTAGTCTTTGTTCTGTTTTGTTTTGTTTGAGTTGGACTCCCCTGCTGTTGCCCAGGCTGGAGCACAGTGGCATGCTTACAGCTACCGCAGCCTCAACCTGCCTCAGCCTTCCGAGTAGTGGAACCACAGGCATGCATCCCCATACGAATTCTTTTTTAATTGCAGAAACAAGGTTTCGTCAAGTTGCCCAGACTAGTCTCAGACCCCTGGGCTCAGGCACACTTCTTGCCTCCACCTCCCAAAGTGCTGGGATAACAGGCATGAGCCACCATGCCCAGCCCCTCCCACTCAGTAGAATTTTTAAAATCTGTGTTTTCTGAGGTATGTGGGACTTCTAAAGACTGCAGGACATCTTAAGTGTGTAATGGTTTTGTTTTTATTTGTCCTGTGTTAATAATCTCTTTTGGGTATGTGAATATTCCTCTGTTCTCATAAACGTTTCTGGAAAGCAAATAGAATATTTCATTGTATGTACTCTGGAACCAAACTCTCTATCATCTTTTGTTAATAGGATGTCACATTTCCAAACCAGAAGTTATCTTCAGCTTGGAGCAAGGAGAAGAGCCATGTATGTTGGATGGTGGGATCTCTAGTCAGAAATGCCCAGGTGAGCAAGAAACCAAGAGCCTGGTAAACAGTATGTCTCAGTCACAGTTGTACTGGAAAGGCTGGCAACTTTGACATGCTTTTAATGTGATTTTTCTGGTTCATTCTAAACTCTTGGGACTGCTTGGATGGAGCAGACGTTGGGTATGGCTCCATGGATATATAAATGCTATCCCCACTTACGGCCCCTTTCCATATCAATGCCTTCTTTGCTTAACTTTTTAAGGAGGAAATGTGCTGCAGTTACTGGTACTTTAGATCATGTTCCAATCTGCACCATCTAGGACCCTGCTTTTTTGCCTTTTTTTCTTTGCTTAGAAAATTTGTATGTTCTTTCTACTTCTATCAGGGTCTTCGATTCTTTTCTTGTGTATGCAAATACTCATAGATCAGCACTCTTTAAAAATTACTGTGGGTCACACTCTGGCTCCTGCTGGTTTCTTCTCACTTTATCTTTTTCTTTAGTGCCTCAGAATTGTCATCCAGGTGGGCTTATTTAAGATCTCCCCACCTCTGCTCTAACTGTTGGCTTTGAGGGCACCATTGCCATTTTCTGCTTGACTAGTGCAAGCAGCACTGACTTGATCTTCCTGACTTATTTATTCTGATATTTTACAAAAAGTTTTTGTACCTCATGTGCAGGAGATTAAGTTAATTACGGCCACTGTCTATAATAAATATCATCGTCAATATGTTTAGGGCTCCCTTCTTATTGATTCCTTTTAATACCCACTTTTCATTTTCATTTTATCCTTCCCAGAGGCAACTGCTCTAATATAGTTGATATGTTTGCTGTCAATCCTTGAATTTGTGGCTATTTTAAAGTCTAAATTGTTAGTATTTTTAATTTATAGAAATGGTGTTACATTATACATGCTACTTGGTTTTTTTTTTCTTTTTTGAAAATGAGTCCTGGTTGCTCTCTATTTTTCTAGTTGCTATATGGCATTCTATAGTATGCATATTTAGGATGCATATACACTTTACTTGTCCAGCCTTTCAGCTACTACTTGTACTAACAGTACTATAATAAATTTCTTCATGAACTATTCTTATAGGAAATGAGAATTTCTTAGGGAAGAATAGTAAGATTGCTTTATCATTGGGTATGCTAATACCTAATATGACTAAGTATAACCACATTATTTTCTAGGATGCCAATGTCATTCCAAAGTCCCTTGAACATTGCACAAGTGTATTTGTTTCCCTACATTCCTTCCCATACCTAGTATTATCCAAATTTCTGATAATTTGGCTAACCTATTAGATTGTGATTTCTAATTATTATTTTAATTTGTATGTCTTTAACAACAAAATATGTTTATATCTCATCCTGAATCCTTCTTTTTTTTTTTTGAGTTGGAGTCTCACACTCTTGCCCAGGCTGGAGTACAGTGGCACACTCACGGTTACCCCAAGGTTGACCTGCTGGGCTCCTGCAATCTTTCTGCCTCAGCCTTCCAAGTAGCCAGAACTATAGGCACACATTACCATGCCCAGCTAATTTTTTATTTATTGTAGAGACGAGATCTTGCCAAGTTGCCCAGGCTGGTCTTGAACCCGTGGGCTCAAGCAATCCACTTGCCTCAGTCTCCCAAAGTGCTGAGATTATAAGCTGAGCCACTGAGCCCAGCCCTTTTTCCTTTTTCTTTTTCTTTTTTTTTTTTGAGTCAGGATCTCATTCTGTCACTCAGGCTGGAGTGCAGTGGCATGATCACAAATCACCACAGCCTCAAACTCCTAGACTCAAGCAATTCTCTCATGTTGGCCTCCCAAAGTGCTGGGATTATAGGCATGAGCCACTACTTCTAGCCCGTATCCTTCATTTTTTATGTCTGCTGACATCTAAGCCTCACCCCTCTCTTCCTCTCGTGCCCTACACCTGGACAAACTGATAAGAAATCCAGGTAGGTACTTTCTACCTTGGCTCTGGCAGAAAGTTCAAACCACATATGGGAACAGTTAGTCCAACCCCACCCCCGAACTACCATAAAAACCCTGGCCAATCCTTCACTTGCTCTCTCAAGACCACATTTGGACCTGTTTGGAGCTTTCCCCATAAGCCTCATTATGTGAGTAATGAGCTTTTTCCTGCCCTTTTAGTGAGTGTGTCCTATCATCACTCTTAACTTCTGAACCAAGTTTGAGGTGGAGTCCATTCCTTCTCTGGATTCAGCTGGACAGTGAGCAGGATGTCCAGACAATGATCACTCCTGCAGAGGTCTTTCTCCTCTTCCTAACTGGCTACTATTGAGTATGCACTTCGCCTCAGCCCTATACGTAACTGAGCAAAGTTAGAAGTTATCATTGACATTTAGGAACAGGTGTAAGATATTGGGCCCCTTCTTAAAGTCACCCTGGACCATGTGTCTTGACCTGGACTTATCTGTATCTCAGATTGAATTATGTCTCTCAGTTTTAGCATAAGCTGTGATTGACAGTTGGCTCATGGGAAAGACTTTTACTCTGTGACTGCTATTTGTGTGTCTCAGCCAGACATTGGCCCCACTGTATACAGTGCTCAGGGAAAGACCAGTGCATATAAGGGTTCATCCAGTGGCTCTTGTGTGAAGGTAGACAGGTTACAATGAAGCATCCTAGAAGCCGGTGGTTCGCCTTTCAAAATTTATCATATTCTATTGTGGTTTTTTTTTTTACTTTTCCTTCTCATCCATCTTCTCAAGTAATTCATTCTACTCTTCTACTAATTTCGCTCTTTTAGAAAATGCCAGTTAGATGCATTCCTACTCTTACTCCCCAGGGGTAGCATCTAAAACCATTTTCTTATGCCTGGATGATTCAAACCCTATTTCGATTTAATGATCCCATTTTTTTTTTTGTACTAGTTTCATCTTAGAGACTACTGATAGATTTCATTACTTAAAATATTGTTTGGAACAAAACTAAAGGTACTACTTATTATCTAACACATGACAAATTCTTCTCCTCTCAAGGTTTTAAGCTGAAGAAAGAACATGGCCTCTTATTTGTAATTCACATTTGCTCCTCTTTAGTTTCTGTAACAATGTGTACTCCATTATAACATTTTGTTTAATGTTTCCTCTACACCTGACCCTTTGATTATTTTGTGGTCTATCTGCCTATTCAGATAATTCACATGCTTTGTGCTCAGGTTTTACTTGCTTCTTGAATTGGACCTGTTACAGTACATATTGCATTTTACCTTTTCTAATTCTCCAACCCACAGAAATTTAGAGAGAACTACTTAAAATTATATGATAACTGAATCTTTTACCCCTCTACATTTAAGAAAAGTGCTTCTGGAGAAAATGTTTAGTGAAGTTAAATTTGTTGAATTTATGTCACAAGTGCCAGAGTCATTTGCTTTCTTTTAGAAGCATTTAACATTTTTTCTTCTAGGAACAATTCAAAGGACCAGATATAGTAATTGGAAAGAGAAGATAACTGCATGAAATTTTTAAAATCTCAGGCTTTGTGCATTGTGCATTTGTTAACACATGTGTCTACTCCAATTTAAATATAAGTATGAGTGGTTCAGAATATGTTTGTTTTTAAGTTAAAAGAAAAGAGAACCAACCTAGAGTTATGGTGAGATTTGAGATTACCTTTTGATGCACAGAAGCCTAAATAATTCATGAAGAACAATTAATTTTGAATAGAAGTGAAAGCTCAGGAAAAAGACCTTAAATGGGGAAAATGAAAAAATTAGCGTGTCTATCCAGATTCATTTGGTCTGTCTAGCCTTGCCTCATTTGTTATTAGGTAGGATCATGTAACTCAGTTCTCACCTATCAAATGGGAGTAAAAATTATGTTTGTTGTGACAGGGTCAATGTCTGAAGGAAGTAGGAGTATCTCCCACAAACCTCTTCTCATCAGCATATTCCAACTTGGCAGCCCCTAGCTCCATGCAGCTGGCAATGCCCTAGGGTTGACTGTCTGAATTTGGATTTAATAGTAATAAAATAGACTTTAGTGCCTAGTGGAAGATAGCTTGCACACACACATTTTATTGACCTGAAATATGACTGTGTTTTACCGAATGAGTAATTGAATTAGTGGTGACAAGGGAATTATATATAAATAAACTTTTAACATGGAAGCAAGTTGTTTGCATTGAATGTTATGGTGGTAACATAAATATTATCATGCACAGCAATAGGTTTGTAAGCCAAGGAAAGTTAAAAGTTGCAAAAGATCAAAATCTATGTTTAGGAATCCATTATTAGATATCCTCAGGATTAATGAAAGCCATTAATGTTCATAAGTTTAATATAACAGCTAAAGAGCATGTCTGGGGACATGACAAGGCCCTAGAGACAGAATAAAATGGATATGAGGTCAGAATTTGTCTCTATTTAAAAACTCTGTTAAGGCTGGGTGAGGTGGCTCATGCCTATAATCCCAGCATTCTGGGAGACTGAAGCAGGAGGATTGCTTAAGCCTAGGAGTTTAAGACCAGCCTAGGAAACATAGCAAAGCCTCATCGCTACAAAAATAAAATAATTTTTTTAAATAGCCAGGCATGGTGGGCGAGTGCCTATAGTCCCAGCTACTTGGAATGCTGAGATGGAAGGATTGATTGAGCCCTAGGCTGTGAACTTTGATCATCTTGATCATGCCACTGCACTCTAGCCTGGACGACAGAGTGAGACCCCAACTCAAAAAACTAAAACAAAAACAAAAAACTCAATTAGAACAAGACAACAGTATCATCAAATCATTATATAGATATTCACTGAGAAACAAACCTTGACTGCTCACACGGTCCAGATCTGCCAGTCAACTCTGTTTCTGATGGCATTCAGGGACAGTCTCTGGAAAGTCATTTCACCACCATCCCCTAGGGCTGGGTTGGAAAATATTTTCTGTGAAGTCCCAAACGTAAATATTTTAGGCTTTGGGACCCCATGTTTGCTGTCGTAATTGCACATTTCTGTGTGGTAGCTCCAAAGAAGCTATAGGCAGTACATCAATGAGTGGGTGTGGCTCTGTTCCAATAAAATCTTAAGGACATGAAAACTTGAATTTCACTTAATTTTCACATGTCATTAAGTATTATTCTCCTTTTGATTTTTTACCATTTAAAAGTGTAAAATACATTCTTAGCTTTTGGGTAGAGTCCTGGGCCCTGAGGGTTATAGTTTTCTGACCCCCTACCCTAAGGCATTGCCAGCTGCATTGAGCTGGGTGGTGCCATGTTGGAATATACTGATGGGAAGAAAAGAGGTTTGTGAGAGACACTCCACTTCCTTCAGACACTGACCTTGTCACAACAAATATAATTGTTACTCCTATTTGGTTGATGAGAACTGAGCTACTTGGTCCCACCTAATAACAAATGAGGCTAGACAGACCTAGTATTCTGAGGCAGCCATGTGGTTGGCTACAAGCTTAATACTGTTAAGGAAGGGACAGATTTTGAAAGACAATACTCAGTCTCTACTTCATGTCCTTTCTCCTGTTATGTCTCCTACTAGATGCATCTATCACATTTGTATCCCAGGAATAAAGAATTGAATCATAAACATTCACTTTACTGTTTGGTCAAGTCAGGATGACTGAGGCTATAATAGTTTTACTATAAACATAAATAAATTGGTCTTTGGGGTACAGTGGATAAGAGGAAAAAAAGCAAGTGGGGAGATGAATGAGGATTTGCAGATGAAGGAAAATAAGAATCTAGTCTCAGATATACTTCCTTTAAACCACAAAGTTTAGCACTTTGTTCTTCCAGCACCTTGCTCACTGTGTAGTTCTACATCTGCCTGGGTTGGAATCTCTTCTTCCCCAGTTACTAAATATTTAATTTGGGCAAAATACTAAACTCTTCTGCAGCTCAGTTTCCTCATCTGTAAAATAGGGACAATAATATAGCATAATACTATCACAACAGCAAAGAGTTGTGGAAAAGTTCAAATGAGTTAAGATAGAACTTAGGACAACACATCTAAATGCTATTGGTTATCATATGGTAAATATAAGTATTCATGTTATATATTATTATATATGAATAGATTATTAGACCTATATATATCTATATTTTATATACTTATACATTTGTCTTATAAAGCCTCTCCCATTTCTGTGTTCACTCTGAATCAACTCTACATATCAATCCATCTGTATTCTGTTAATTGCTATTTGTGTCGGTTTTATCCTTTCTTTTTCTTTTAGATGGGGATACTGGTCTTGAATCTTTACAACAGGGAATGTCTGAAGTGTATTTCCAATCTGAGAGAATTAATCTCTTCACAAGAGATGACCCATATTTCATTTTAGAAGAATTGCAGAAAGATGATGAACAGACAGGAAGATATCAGAAAAACCAGAAGAAAACTATATGCCACAATGCCTTCATCAACAAGGAAACACTAGCTAATGAAAGGGGCTGTGAATATAAGGACATTGGAAAGATCGTTCATGTAAATACACACCTTGTTTCCTCAAGAAAAGGACTCCATAACTATAACTCATTAGGAAAAAGTTTAGAGCCTATTGTAAGCTTATATGATTATAATAGAAACAATGCAACAGAAAATCTTGATAAGATTATCGGATATGATGATGTTTTTACTCATCTGAAATCTACACAAGTAAATGTTTGTGAAAGTAATGAATGTGGGGAACTTCTGAGTCATAAGCAGGCTCTCATTCAACATCAGAAAGTTCATCCTGGTGAGAATCTCTGTTTGTTTTCTGACTATGCTAAAGTTTTCTCCCAGAAGTCACACCTCTTTGCACATCAGAGTGTTTACACTAAAGAAAAACAGCATGAATGCAGCGAATGTGAGGCGGTTTTCCCTCAGAAACCCCAACTTGCTGCAAATAAGAGGGTTTATGCAGGAGAGAAACCACATATATGCACTGAATATGGGAAGGATTTTCCCCTCAAGTCAAGCCATCAGAAAATTGGTAATGAGGAGAGTTACTATAAATGTCATGAATATGGAAGAGCCTTTATCCAGAAGTCGGAGTTGTTCAGAGGCCAGAGAATTCACGCTGGAGAAAAACCCCATGAATATAGTGAATGTGGTCAAAACTTTTCTCAGAATTCAAGCCTCAATATACGTAAAAAAATTCATACTGGAGGAAAACACTTTGAATGTCCTGAATGTGGAAAAGCCTTCACAAGGAAATCGACACTAAGTATGCATCAGAAAATTCATACAGGGGAAAAGCCCTATGTATGTACTGAATGTGGGAAGGCCTTTATCCGCAAATCACATTTTATCACACATGAAAGAATTCACACTGGAGAGAAACCCTACGAATGCAGTGACTGTGGGAAATCCTTTATTAAAAAGTCACAGCTCCATGTGCATCAGCGAGTTCACACAGGAGAGAATCCCTTTATATGTTCAGAATGTGGGAAGGTTTTCACTCACAAGACAAATCTCATTATACACCAGAAAATTCATACTGGAGAAAGACCCTATATGTGCACTGAATGTGGGAAGGCCTTTACTGACAGGTCAAATCTCATTAAGCACCAAAAAATTCATACTGGCGAGAAACCCTATAAATGCAGTGACTGTGGGAAATCATTCACATGGAAGTCCCGGCTCAGGATACATCAGAAATGTCATACTGGAGAGAGACATTTTGAATGCAGTGAATGTGGGAAAGCATTCATTCAGAAGTCAACACTAAGTATGCACCAGAGGATTCATCGAGGAGAAAAACCCTACGTTTGCACTGAATGTGGGAAGGCCTTCTTCCACAAATCACATTTTATTACTCATGAGAGGATTCACACTGGAGAAAAACCCTATGAGTGCAGTGATTGTGGGAAATCCTTCACTAAGAAATCACAACTCCATGTACATCAGCAAATTCACACGGGAGAAAAACCCTACAGATGTGCTGAATGTGGAAAGGCTTTCACTGACCGGTCCAATCTCTTTACGCACCAGAAAATTCACACTGGAGAGAAACCTTATAAATGTAGTGACTGTGGAAAAGCCTTTACTCGAAAGTCTGGCCTGCATATACACCTGCAGTCCCATACTGGAGAAAGACATTATGAGTGCCATGAATGTGGGAAAGCCTTTGCAAGAAAATCAACACTAATTATGCATCAGAGAATTCACACAGGAGAAAAGCCCTATATTTGTACAGAATGTGGGAAGTCCTTCATCCAGAAGTCACACTTGAATAGACATAGGAGGATTCATACGGGAGAGAAACCCTATGTATGCAGTGACTGTGGAAAGTCTTTCATTAAGAAGTCACAGCTCCATGAGCATCATCGAATTCACACTGGAGAGAAACCATATATGTGTGCTGAATGTGGAAAGGCCTTCACCATCAGATCCAATCTCATTAAACACCAGAAAATTCATACTAAACAGAAGCTCTATAAATGCAGTGACTTTGGGAAAGCCTTAAACTGGAAGCCGCAACTCAGCACACATCAGAAAACCGACACTGGGGAAGTAGAATACCCAATGCCACAAGTATGGTGTGGGGACGCAGGAGGTGACCAAGACCAGTGTTCTTCTATTTAGTCAGAATTTTGAAGCTCTGGATCACAAAACTGATATCCAGTTACACATATGCATAGGTACTTTGGAGAAAATGTCTAAGCAATGTGTATTGGCTATTCTTTGTTACTTGGCAACTACTAGAATTGTCAGCCCCCTGCAAATAATATTAAATGTGCAAGATGACTTGCAGTCTTCCTTGTTTCACTTTTTTGGTAAACAGTTTTATAAATTTAGGGCTGTTGAGTTTTTTGTACCCTGGGTACCAAAACTATACAATATTGACCAAAAAAGTTTTTATAAAAAGTGGAATAGTGAGAAATTTTACATTGTCTAAGCACCCTGAGGACATTGAATTCAAGGCAATTCAGGTCTATAATGAAAAGAAACCAGACGCTCTTGTGATAATTAACACTAAAGACACAAAGGACTCTACTTTTTTTCCTATTGTTTGGGAAGTTACTATTATTTATGGTTTTATAGTATTTATTGGTGGACGCTGTTGCAGGTATCCAATGCGTCTGAAATTGCTCTTGGACTATTTCCCAAAAGTGATTAATGATGTAAACATCAGTCCCATAACTACTTGTCACCTCAGACTGACCAGGGAACCAGATCTAGATGACCGCACTTTGAATCCTCAGCTTGATCCAGAGAAACCTGTACATTTTTACTGATTCCTATTTGGAGAAAAAGACAAGTTAACAAAATGGGCTTCAAAATCTAAAATAGTTTTCTTCTAATTGGGTTAGTACATTCTCTACATGTTCGCTACATGCTAGATTATCGTGAGATAAAAGTGTCTTGCATTTTAGTTTGTTTTTGTATTAGACAAAATGGAGTTAAACATTGGGAAGAGTATTTCTCCTATTGCCTCCCAATCTCTTCAAATTAACGTTATTTAATTGTGTTTTTTAAATCCTCTATATTCTGATAGACTTTTTTTGCCTTTTGTTCTATCAGATACTGAAAGAAGTATGTTATCATCTTAGAGATTAATTGTGAATGTATCTCCTTTAGAGCTATGGATCTTTGCTTGATACATTTTGAGTCTTCGATTTTATATACAAATTTAGATTTGTTATCTTCCTGGTTAATTGGAGCTATCATTATGAAATGTCTGTTTTTATCTCTAGTTATGCTTTTTGCTTTAACATTTACTGTTAGATATTAATACAGTGTGCATATTTCACTTATTAAAGGCTAACATAAAGTAGTACTCACCACACTTCTGGACAATATTAATTGCATTTATTCTTCTCTTTACTTACCTGCTATTGATGTCATGTGTTTGTATTCTATATAACGTGGACATAGCCAATCATTGTTTCAGAGTCAATATTCATTTAAATTAACCCATATATTTATCCTTTTCATTACTTTTTTATTCCTTTCTGTCGTTTTAAGTTTCCCCCTAGAATTATTTTTCTAACTGAAGAATACCCTTTAGTGTTTCTTTTACTGCAAGTTTGCTGGTGACAAATTTTGTTTTTGTTTGTTGGAAATGTCTGTATTTTGCCTTCATTTTCAAATGACACTTTTCCTGAGTATAGAATTCTAAGTTCTTCTGTCATTGTTTTGAAGATATTTATTTATGGTCTTTCATTGTTTTGTTGAGAGGTAAGCTGTCAATATAATTACCTTTGAGGGTAATCTGCTTTTATTTCTCTCCTTTAAAATTTCTCTCTTTCAACAGGTGCACAATGATATGCCTAGATTTGGTTTTTTTCTATGTGTGTATCCTGCTTGGGTTTACAGTGCAAAATCTGTGGCTTAGTTTTGTGTGTGTGTGTGTGTGTGTGTGTGTGTGTGTGTGTGTGTGTGCGTGCGCACACCCATTTTGAGAAATGTCTAGCTGTTATCTATTCAAATTATGTATCTGCTTCATTTTCTTTCTGTTTCTTTTAGTGACAACCCTGTTACCAAGATCCCTATTGGCCTTTTTCTGTTGGTTATTTTTCTTGGGTTTTGGTGATGTCTTATCTTCTCATATATGTGGTGTTTTTTAAATCAACTGATAGACACTAATATAGTAAAGTTGTAGAGATAATAAAATGGTCTGGGCTGGGTGTGGTGGCTTATACCTGTAACCCCAGAAATTTGGGAGGTAGAGGCAAGAGGATGGCTTGAGCCCAGGAGTTCAAGACCAACTGGGCAACATGAGACCTCATCACTACAAAAAAATGAAGTTAGACAGGCTTGGCGGCATGTGCCTTTATCCCTAGCCACTCAGGAGACGGAGGCAGAAGGACCATGGAGCCCAGGAGTCAAAGGCTATGACGAACCATGAGCATGCCACTGCACTGCAGCCTGGGTGATAGCGTGAGACTCCAACTCCAAAGAATGAAATTCAGTGGTCTGGATGTACCTTTTTCTAGAGAAAAATCTGCCTTCCCTTCTAACAGGTAACCAGGCAATGAATACTAGTAAACCCTGATTGCTTTTATCCAATGATGTATTGAGATTATTTGCACCTGGGCTTTAGTCTCTATTTTTTAAACCTTTATTCCTAGGGGATGCCTTTTGAATTTTAGGTCTTTGGGATGTTTATCATGCCTCCTGTTTGGAAGGACTTGAATTCTAGTATTTGTCTCTTCAGTCATATTAATTTGTCAAAAATTCTCTCCAGCCTTTCTTGCTCATTGTTCACCTTAAGAGCTAACAAACTACTCTTAGTAACAAACAGTCCAATTTCAGAAATGATGTCATCTCTAATATTATTCCTGCGGTTGCTCACTTCCTTGATAGCTTTTCTGTGCCTTCAAAAGTTAAATGTGTTTAATGTTTTATTTCTCGTTTTTTAGTTCTCAAAGGGAGTACTAGTCTATGTCACCTACTCTGCAATTGGCAGAAGTTTTTAGTGCATTGAGACAGTTTTCTTTTTTTTTTTTTTGAGTTGGAGTCTCACTCCAGCACCGAGATTGGAGTACAGTGGCATGCTCTTGGCCACTCCAGTGTCGACCTGCTGGGCTCAGGCAATCCTTCAGCCTCTACCTTCTAAGGAGCCAGAACTACAGGCGCACACACCATGCCCAGCTAATTTTTGGATTTATTGTAGAGATGAGGACTCACCAAGTTGCCTAGGCTGTTCTCGAACCTGTGGGCTCAGGCAGTCCCCTCACCTCAGCCTCCCAAAGTGCTGAGAATACCGGCTTAAGCCACCATGCCAACCAAGACAGCTATTCTTATTTAAAGAGTCTGGAGTCCAGAAATATGTTTTTTAAATTACCAGTATTACTGACTTAAAAATGAAAACACTCAAGTTTGCAACATTACTTTATTCTCATCTTCTGTTGCTAAAAGACTTCAGGCAGTTACTCTTGTTAAAAACTTTACAAACTTTGATACATAAGCTAAAATTACCTCTGGTGTTATTTTATTATGGTAGGTGTCAGACTTTAGCAAAAGGAAGAGATTGACTAAAAGCTTCTCAGATGTACTTTTTTAATACTATGGTTTTTCCTTTGGATAATCAAGAGACTATTAGGTTAATGAAGACTAATCTAGAGCCTGGGTTTTGAAAAAATAAATTTGGTGGGATTGCTAAAATAGTGATTCTCAACCTTTTTAATCTCAAGCACATTTTAAAAAATAGGATTTTGGCACTTCTGAGATTTAAAAAAAGAGCTACATTACCTTTTGTTTACACGGTATTTGTCTCTAAGAGAAAAAAGACTTCCTTTTGTGGGGTTTATTGTATCTCAAGGAGTACTTGAGTACAAATTGGAGAATGGGTAATGAAAAACTATGAGTGCATAGTAAATGTTAGGAGAGGTAAATGTTAGGAGGGGTAAATGTTAACTAGAACACCGGGTCAGTATAGATTGGAGGTCTGTGGGGTATAGACTTTACTAGGGAAAATAGTGTGTGTTAGCCATGTCTTTTTATGCCTGCACTATATCATAATTAATTTGTATTTATAGCAAACTATTTTTAAAGTTTTATAACTTAAATTTTTTCAAAGAACAAAATACCACATATTAACACTTATACATGGTCCTTGAACATTTACCATAATATTTTAAGAAAGGGATTGGCAGTAATGGGATACTGCCAGGGTGGGGGGGTAGGGAGGGGGTGCAACATCAATAATGGTACCTGATCTCAAACCAAAGTGGGGACCAAAGGAAGGCCCAAACTTTGCCTGTACAGTGACCACTTGTATACCTAATCCTGAATTGTATCCACATCTTTAAAATAAACAAATTTTAATAAAAATGCATTTAAAATTAATATTTAAAAGGGAATCATACTGTTAATTCAGAAAATGTAGGAAAACTTTCACTCAAGCCAACACTTAATTATATTAGATAATTCATAGAGGAGAGTAATTTTTTGTTTGTACTAATTGTGGGTAAGGTTTTCTTCACAGCTCATATTTCATTACACATAAGAGAATTCATGCTGGAGAGAAACTTTATGAATACAGTGACCCTAGGAAATCTTCCACTGAAAAGTCAATGACCTGAACATAACAAATTCACACATGAGGAAAAGTAATTGTTCAAATCTCATTACACACCAGAAACTCAATTTGGAGAACAAAAACCTACAAAAACAATTTGGAGAACAAAAACCTGCAAAAAAAAAAAATTGAAAAAACTTGCAATTTTCTGGAATTTATCAGAAAATTTCTACCAGATAATATAAATGCACACTTAATATGTAGATAGCTTCACACAGAAATCGGTATTCAGTATTTATACATGAATAAAACTATGTATTTCTTTAAAGTGAGAAACTGTTTTCACAGAAGTGAGAACCAATTGCACTTATTCATACTACAGAGAAACTTTATGATTATTCTACATTATATATTACATACTGGATATTGAAAAAATGTTTGTCTATGAGTAAAATCTTACTGTATACCAAATAAATGAGAAGAATAGATTTTCTAAGAGTAAATCATTGTATTAAATGTCAGCATTTATATAGGAAGGAGCTCTGTAAGTTTGATACACTGGAAAACGTCTTCCTATAGAAGCAAATTCCATAAGAAATAGAATTTATTTTGTTATTGATTTAAGATTAGGCTCATGTCTGAAACCAGAGGGGACAAATAGATTGGTGCAACACTTCCCTTTTAATTAAATATTTAAACACACACACAAACATGCACACACATAAACTTTGTATAAAGGTAACTTTTATAGCACATTTTATGTCTTGATTTTTGTACTTCTTCTATTCATAACACCTCCAGGCAGACCAACAGATAATCAGTGCTAATCAATTTTATGATTTTCTCTAAACTCAAAATCACTTTACAGACACATCTATACACATATATTAGTGTGTGCTTTCATTGTCTTACATAAGTAGAATTATATGCATATTTTTGCATCTTTCACACTCAACAATAATTTTTTAACTGGCTGAAAAATGTCCATGATGTAGACATCCCATCGATTTTTAACCATTTTGCCACTGCTAATTCACATTTTTGTCACTTGGAGAAATGATCTTACAACCATCCTCAAGAGGTAACATAAAATAGTGGATTATTGGACAGGTATGATCATGCCTTAACCTACTGGAGATTTATTTTTCTGTAGAATATGTTTCTAGGACTGGGATTGATGGATCAAAGTATGTGATATGATATTCTTCCATTCACATAATTGTATTTTTTACATGTTTAAATGTGTCTCTCTATTCTTCCACAGTTTTGAATTCCTGGGAATTGGCAGACACTTGGTTTGCTGAGCCAACATACAACCCCAGTAGTGTTCTCTCAATACCTACTTCATTACCATCTTTTGAAAGTGGTAGTGGCCCCAGGACCTGTCTCAGGTAAAGAGAAGCAAAACACTGGTAGATCTGTCTTGGGAAAAACCTTTATTTTCTAAGAAAAGAGACAGACTTAGCTGCTGCCATCAATTCTACCCTTCCTCTTGCCTTGTATGTGATGCCTACAGCAACCACTGAGGAAAGGCCAAAAGAACTAAGACACCAGTTCTGACATTATTGATTCAAAACCAGCAGCAACTTACCTTCAACTATGTGATGATAAACATATCTGGCATAAACCATTCTATTTTATATTTTTCTTGTTGTATCCAAAAGCATGCCTAAACTTATTCAGGAAATGAAATATATTAAGTAATATATCCTTTTCCTATTAAATATTTTTTAATGGAAAAACCCTAGTATATCAGATACTGCATGCAAACTTGAGAAAGCTAAAGAAATAGCAAAATTGTACAAGATATGTAATGAG